TTTGAGTTTCTCTCCATTTAATTTGATGTTTGCTGTTGGCTTGCTATAAATTGCCTTTATTATGTTTAGAAATGTTCCTTGTATTCCTGATCTTTCTAAGACCTTTATCATGAAGGGGTGTTGGATTTTGTCAAAGGCTTTTTCAGCATCTAAAAAGATGATCATGTTTAATTGCTTTTTCTTGGCTTTCTTTGATTTCTTCCAATTTTTTGTTCATTTTTCTTCCATTTCTTTGAGGGAATTTTTTATTTCCTCTTTAATGGAGTTTTTTATTTCCTCTTTAAGGGAATTTTTTATTTCTTCTTTAACGGACTCTATCATCTTCTTAAAGTCATTTTTAAGATTGATTTCTTCTGTTTCTTCTGTCTTGGTATGTTCAGGTCTTGCAGGTGTAGAATCACTAGGTTCTGATGTTGCCATATAGGTCTTTGTGTTGTTGCCTGTATTTTTGCACTGACGTCTACTCATCTCTTCCTCTGCTCCGTGCAGGTGGTATCTGTGTCTGAAAGTGTCTCTCTTGTTCTAATCTTTAGTCTTGGTTCACTAGGAGTTCTTGGTTAAATTAGTGCTGTTGCGCTGTTTCTTTGGGAGTAGCTGATCTCAGTCGGTGAAGTATATACTTATGATTCTGGTGATCTGGTTTGGTGGCTGGGCAGCGCCTTCTGTGTTCCCAGGTCATATTTTGCTCATTCATCAACTCCTCAGCTGATCTTGTTTTCTCAGACTTCAAACTGTAGGGATCTGAATCCACTCCCAGATGGGTTTCAGCTGAGCGGGGTAGTCTCACCAACACCTCCAAGTTGTTGGGTTTCGCAGGATCAGCAGCTGGGCCCTGGGTTGGCCTCCGACAGAGTGTTCAGATTCGTTCTGGTTCCGTCCCACAGAGATAGCTTCTTCCCCGGGTTTTGGGATTAAAGGCATCCCTGTTCCAAGCTCTTGATTAAGAGCTTGTTTTCACTAACTCTTCAGCAGGTAATAGCTCAATTTCTGGTCTTTATTGCAACTGTGTTTTGGCCGACGCCCGCCGGGCCTGCCTGGCTCTGCCGGCCGCCACCATGGCACCTGTCTGCCCCTGGGTTTCTATTATAAGACCAACAAGGATCCCTGCAACAAACCTAGCCACCTGAGTTCCCTTCCTGGGACCCAAATGGTGAAGGGAGAGAGCCAACTCTCACAGGCTGTCCCCAGATCTCCATGTGTGCACATATACACACAATACACAATAAAAATAAACAAATGCAATAAAAGTTTCAAGACGATCCAAAGCAAAGTGTCTTAGTCACTGTTCTATTGCTGTGAAGAGATAGCATGACCACGGCAACTCTTATAAAGGAAACATTAATTGGTGCTTGCTTACAGTTTCAGAGGTTTAGTTCGTTATCATCATGTCAGGAAACATGGCAGCATGTAGGCAGACGTGGTGCTGGAGAAGCAGCTGTGAGCTCTACATCCAGATTTTCAGGCAGTAGGAAGAGAGTGAAACACTGAGCCTGGCTTGGGCTTTTGAAAACCTCAAAGCCCACTTCCAATGACACACTTCATCCAACAAAGCCACGCCTCCTAATCCTTTGCAAGTAGTGTTACTCCCTAGTAACCAAGCATCAAATCTATGAGTCCATGGGGTGCATCTGCATTAAAACCATCACAGGAAACAAAGTTTATTAAGTATTTAGACAGAGTGTCACATAGGAAAGGGGCAGTAGAATCCCAAAACCTGGGTATGAGTTTCATGAGACATCTCCCTGAGAGGCTTTATAATGGCTGCATACATGATTTTGTGGCTTTCTCAGTTGCATCCCTCAAGGGATGTAATTTGGCAGTCTTAAAGCAAAGTGGAAACTTTAAGTTGAAAAATAAGTACGATATGTGAGCTGGTTTATTTTCCTTTAATTGAAAAATTTAAAACAATAAAAAAAATTATCTGCATTGGTGTTTTGCCTGCATGTATGTCTGTGTGAGGGTGTCAGGTACCCTGGAACTGGAGGAACAGACAGTTGTGAAATGCCATGTGGGTGCTGGGAATTGAACCCAGGTCCTTTGGAAGAACAGCCAGTGCTCTTAACCACCAAGCCATCTGTCCAGCCCTTTAAAACTATTTCATACATTTATATAATGTACTTCGGTCACATCCAGCCCTAATCCCCCCCATCCTACCCTCACATTGGATGATCCTCTTCTTTCCCCAACTTGTCCCTTCCTACTTTCATGTTTCCCTTCATGTTGAAATCTAGCTTTCTCAGCACAAGTTGCTGAAGACACTGTCTTTTCTTTGTCAGAACTCAGGTAACTGTAGTTGCCTGTACTTGTATCTGGGTCCCCAGTTCTGTTCCATCGATCTGTGTCTGTTTTGTGCCAGCGCCATGCTGTTTTTATCACCATGGCTCTGTGGTATAAATTGAACCAGGCATGCTGATGCCTCCAGCAGTTTCATTACTCAGGTCTGCTTTGGCTATGGTTGGTTTTTTAAGCCTTTATATAAATTTGTGGAATGTTTTTCTGTGCCTGTGAAGAATGGTCTTGGAATTTTGTTTGGGATTGCATTAAATCTGTAGATTGCACTTGTCAGAATGGCCATTTTCATAAGACTAAATTATCCCAACCCTTAGGCATTGGGGGATATTTCCATTGGCTAGTGTCTTCCTCAATTTTCTTTTTCAGTGTCTTAAAGCTTTAGACATCTTTTGTTACCTTGGTTCCATTTATTCCACGCATTTCATTTTATTTTTGTGGCTATTGTGAATTCCTTTCAGCGTATCTGTTTGCTATTGGTATGTGGGAAGTCCTGATTTTTGTGTGTTGATTTTGTAGCCTGTCACTTTGGTTTCTCAGCTGTAAGAATTTTGTGGTGGAGTCTTTAGGATCTTAGTGTACAGACTCCTATCATCTGCAAAAGGGGATACTTTCTCTTCTTTTTTCCTGTCTGTATCCCTTTTATTTCATTCTCTTGTTGAATTGCTCTAGTTAGGACTTCAAGCACTACACTGACTAGAAGTGGATGGAGTGACGTGTTCTTGACTTAGTGGGAGTATTTAAAATTTTCTTACTTAGTATAATGCTTACTATAGGCCTGTCATACATAGTCCTTTTAAAGAGTTATGTATTTTCTAAGATTTTATGTGTATGTCTGCTTGTCTATATGTGCACCATAAATTACACTTACTGATATACACATAAGATGATCCATCCCTGCATTGTTGGAATAAAGCCAACTTTGTCATGCTCTTTGAAAATATGACCCTGCATTCCATTTGTTGAGTAGTATTGAGAATTTTTGTATCTATGCTCATCAGGGAGATTGAATTCTCAGTGAATCCATCTATCTGGTCCTTGAATTTTGACTTTTTTTTTTTTTTTTAAATACTGAGACTTAAAAATCTGTTTGTGTTCTCCTTCTTCTATGTCTGTAATTAGAAGATTTGGTGTTTTCATGGTGCATAAGAACCCTATTATCAGGATTTTCCCAGGGGCTTGCCCTGAGAAAATCCTTCCCAGAATCCTGAGGGGAAAGAATCTACGTACACCAATTTCTGATGTCTGTTTACTTTATTTCTCTATAACAAACTTCTCTCTACAAACTTCAGATCCGTCCTGACACTCAGTTCTTCTGTCCCTTCTCTTTCTGTCCTCTCATAGCCCTAACTAAACCCTTATATTCCTTACGTTTTCGATCTCATCTTCATCTTCAGTTTCTCCATCCGTGCTCATTTCTTTTCCTACTCTCCTCACCTGAGCCAACCCTTATTCTCTGCAGAAGATCTGCCTTGTCCCTTTCTCTCCAGCCACTTGACTCTCAACCAGGAATTCTGCCCCAGCCTTCACTGGCACCTGGAAATGCAAAAAAACCTTTGTTCTGAGGCAAATGCTCTGGAATGCCATTTGGTCAGTCTGGGGAAAGGAAAGTCTGAGCTTCATTTGCAGAAGAAACAAAGCTATGCATCTACTTTCTGCTTTTCTCCTAGGCTCTGTAGAGGTGTTACCTAGTAGATCAGCAGGTCTGAGAAGCTTACACTTTTTGTCTGTGTGTACAAGAATTTCATAGCAGAAGATGGCTGATATATTCAAAGCTGAATAGCATTAAGTATTCCCTGATAAATGGCTTCTCTCTAGAAAAATTCCATGATTTTTCTAGGTATAGCTTTATTATATACAGCTGAATCTCTATAGTATATTCCTGTGGCTTGCAGTACTCTGTATTCTGCATCTCATGGGTATGGCTGTTTTGCCTATATGTATAGATGTACACCACTTGTGGGCCTGGTGTTCACAGAGGCCAGGCCAGGACATTGGCTCCCTGGGACTGGATGGATTTTGAGCCACCATGGGGGCTTTGGGAATTGAACTCAAGTCCTCTGGAAGAGCAGCCTGTTCTCTTAACCACCAAGGCCTCCTCTCCAGCCCCTTTTTACTTAAAAAATACATTTGACCTTTCCTGAGCGTCCCCATCCCTCTGCCTTGTCTTCCAGCCCTGTACTATCTCCCATGTGACCCACTCTATTGCTAAGGGTTTCCACTGGACCTTTAATCTGGCTTACAGAGTTTTTCATTTCCAGAATAATTTCGGTTTGGTTTTTCTTAATTATATCTTTTTACTGAATTCTATTCTATATTGGATTGACGTCCTTTCTTTTTTTTCTTGGAGTACATTCATGTCTTCCTTGAGTTGTTTAAAAGGGTAATTATAACTGTTCAGCCCCCCCCCCCCAATCCTTCCAAATCGTTTTCATTGGGAGCCATCATTATAGGTTTAGTAGTTTTTTTGAGAAGATGTGTATGTTATGATGTTATGTTTCTGCAATGGGACTTGCATATTTGGAGTTAATGTTTTGCTTTTCATATCTTCTAGAAATTCAAGTTTTCTTTTTTCCAGTGGAGTGTAAAATATTCAGGCGAGGACTTAGTCAAGGGGCTGAGGTGCTGTTTTCCTTTGAGGGGCTGGTGTTTATAGCCAGACTCTAGCCCTAGTCCTCTCTGAGGTCAGGTACTGTCCTCAGTCAGCTCTGGCCTCCTGCCTGGTCTGTAGCTAGCGCTGGGGTTGTGGAACTCCCTGTGCCCATGCACCTTACTCTGGGCCACCTCAGGCCTCCTCTCTGGATCTGCAACTTCCTCTGCCATTTTCGGAACTCCCCGTGGGCCTGACATCGGGTCAGAAACAGTCACCTTTTACTAGGACTCCACTGCTTCTGGCAGATGCAACTTAGACTCTCCAGCTGGCACACGCCTGGGCAGCAGGCATGTTCCTCTTGAGGTGCTCAGTGTGCAGCCTCTCATCCTTCATCCTTGGAACAGTGGAAGTGTGGTACTTCCTGTCTCATGCCACAGTACATCAGGCCTACAGTGCATCATCAGGCCCATGGTACATCATTAGGTCCACCATACATCAGGCCTGTATCTTTTAGACTTTCTTTCTAAGTTGTGTAGCTTGTAAGCATGGCTCCTTGGTTTGCTAAATGTTCTTTAAATGAAAAATCTTTATTAAATCCCTCAGTGCTTAAAATACATAAATGTTATCTGCTTCTGTTGTTCTCTCAGTAAATCTAATACATAAAAATGGAAAAGAGCGCCGGGCGTTGGTGGCGCACGCCTTTAATCCCAGCACTCGGGAGGCAGAGCCAGGCGGATCTCTGTGAGTTCGAGGCCAGCCTGGGCTACCAAGTGAGCTCCAGGAAAGGCGCAAAGCTACACAGAAAAACCCTGTCTCGAAAAACCAAAAAAAAAAAAAAAAAAAAAAAAAAAAAAAAAAAATGGAAAAGAGCAAGCACAACATTAGGTCTGTCCTTGTCAATCCCTCACACTGTCCTAAAGTTACAGAAGGCTGGTACTCCGAAGTCAAACAGGTCATGCATCACCCATGTGTACACTTGAGTTTGATCTTGCACACCCAGTGCACGAGGCTCTCACCTCTTCAGGCACAGGAAATAGAGCTTCACAAAGGCAAAGTGAGACTTCATCATATTTTTCTGAAATGATTTATTAAATGTAATTTCAACCAAAACTAAGCAAACAAAAACTCATGCTTGAAAAATACTGGGCCATTGTTACACACATGCTACTGATCCTCTGAATTTTTAGGAAGGAAGATTTAAGGCCATAAAATACAGAAAACTTGGGATAAAAGATAATTCAGAAAACAAAGCCAGCAAAACAGCACACAACCAAAGCTAACACAGGGCGAGACCACCACACCTGCAGGCGCACTACGGCGGCCGCTTGCCTCTGTGAATGTTTCGTCGACACAGTGGAGTCCAGTTCCGTTTGGCCAGAAACGTGACTGCCATTTTCGGAGTGCAACATCGTTTTGCTTTGGGGACTACAGTGTGCATCACAAGACACTGAGAAGGATCTCTGGCCTCTGTCCACAAGACACAAGCAGCAATCATCTTTAAAGTGACAAACAAAAATGCCTGTGGACATAGGCAAATGTCTCCTGGGGTGTGGTACAAGTGGCTGAGAACCACTGTTTCACACAGGATACGCTTCCATGCTGCAAAGATCGCATGAAAACAGGTCCCCAAAGCCTGAAATAGTGTCTGGCCCTTCATAAAACATTTGGTAACTTTTAATATAAACAAGGGCAAATGACATGTGCTAGACTAAGACAATAAATTGCTAATATGGTAATATGATCTCCTAGCTGTGTTTCTACAAATGTCTGAAAAAAACAACTCCGATTTTACAAAGGGAGACTGATAACAATGTGCAATTCACAGAAACAAAGCTCAAATGTCCCACAGGCCCGGAAGATGCTCAGCCTTGCTGGCGGTTAAGGAAGTGCAAATGGAAGGCACATTTTCAGTCCTGGTTGACACAGTTTCTGTTGAGATACTGAGACCTTCACACAAAAACAATAAGGCACTGAGTACAGTTTAAGTCTACTATGTTAAGGCAAGGGATTCAACTGGCAGGAATTCACCTGCTTTACAGAAGCAGAAACACCAATATGAGGCAATACCTGTGTCTTGAACTCACTGTTGATGGTAAAACTAACCTGAACATTCGTGGTAAAGAATGGGCTCCACACACATGACTTGTGTGAATTATGTGACGCTAGTTAGATCTGTAAGCACCGGCTAGAAAGATGTCTACAGTATATTACCACCATGTGAGAAAAGGAGGCTGCCCCCTCTGTGTGTACCCACGATCCCATTCAATACACTCCCATAACTTGTTTCCAAGCCGGGTCTAAGCATGGGTGTGTGCCCCAACCAGAGTGAGAACGGACGCACAGCTTCCGCGACTACACTTCAGACAGTGTGGTCAGTGCCGTTTCTCTAAAGAAATCTGTGTAGCATATTCTTGCTTTCAGGGCGTCATGATACATACATTTGGGAGAGGACATTCAAGTCTTGGAAAAAGTATGTATACATGAACAGAAAATTAAAGAGTTATTCTTCCAACACTGAAATCAGTACTAATATCACCTTTTAAAAAACTGCTCTTATTAATTAATTCCTATAAAATGTGCAAGTTCTCTTTTTAGAAGACTAGTTAAAACTTTAGATAGATTTATTAAATTACTATAGCAGTGCAGATTGCCACCCAGTAATCATTTCTCCCTTAAGAAACACTGTGATGGGCTGAGAGCCGGCTCAGTCAGTAATGTGTCTGCCGTACAGACATGAGGACCCGAGCCCCAAAGCTCCCAAAACCCACAGAAGGAAAAGTCGGGTGATGTGGCACCTGCTTTTAATTCCAATGTAAGGCTACAGAGCCGAGTGGGCCCCTGGTCACTGGTCAGCCGGCTGAGCCTACTGGGCAAGCCCCAGCTCCTCAGGAGGCCCTGTGGCACACCACCAAGGGGATGGCTTCTGAGGTAGGACATCTTAGGTGGACCTCTGGCCTCCACACACGTGTGCACATAACACACCTACTCACTACCTGAATTCCGTTATAAATTGTCCCGCAGTAGTCTTTCCAATAATTAGGAGTTTTACTTATCACATGCATTACTGTTCTACAGTGTGAGGCAGATGAACTCCACTAGATGGCGACTGTTCTCAAGTGGAAGTCTGTAGACAGGGAGGGAGGGAGTTTCCCTTCACAGCAGGTACCTGCTGTTCTCAATCAAGTTCCTGCCTTATTCTCTCCTTATTAACATGTCCACAAACACATCTGCACAAAGCACCATGGTCCTCTTTTGCTGGGCTTCTGACGAGCCTTGCTGGTCTAATCAGAATACCCTCTACTAAGTACAATGGGCTTGTAAATAGCTGACTTGATTTCAGATGCTGCCCTTTTCCAAATTTGGTAAAATGTCTGCTCCCTTCCCAGATGTGAGTGCCTTGTGTCCTGAAGAGGTAGAAGATTTTCAGCTGTCAGATGACTCGGTTATACAGGAATTAGTGTAGTTCCTTAAGCACATTCTAAACTTCAGTCAGGAAAACAAAACTTTTCCAAGATTTAAGATATATTGTAAAAAGCAGGATATAAAAATACATGATCAAATGCTTTAAGTAAACATCCTATACTTACTAAATCAAAACTAAATATATATTTCAATAATATGGCTAAGAAAATACTTTGGGAAATAATGCTTCTCTATATCAGATATACTATAAAAGCTATATATATATATATATATATATATATATATATATATATATATCTTACTGAAACTGTATATGTAAAAATATTTTAAAATGGTAATTTCCCAAGAGTTAGGTATACTGTAGAGCTAAGTATTTATTTTCAATTATTCATTTCTTACTCTGCAAGTTCAGGGAAAGGGCAGTTCATGGTTTCATGAAGCCACAATGTCAATGACAATGTCTTTCCCATGACAATCTCAGCCTCATGGCCTTGTGACTGCAACACAAATCAGGCGCCACCTGGTGTACAGATGCGCTCCCTGCAGCTAGGACCATTTCTGTGTCTTGTTGCTGAAGTCCACTGTGGACTTGTGCTCAGATCCCTCTATCACACAGGGGGCCAAGTGCTTAGCCAGGAGCAGCAGACTGAGTGGTTGGGGACACTGCAGAGGGGGAGTGGTGACGCCTGCAGACAGGCAAACCTACAGTCTCCACTTGTCCACCTGGCCTTAGTTCAGTGATAATTTCATCTTCATCTCCTACACAACACTTGTGTCATCAAAATCTCCCCACCTCCCCCAATGGGACTACGTTTAACCCTGGACCTTCTGACTAGCAGAAGGGCACACTATGAATGGAAACTTTCAGTTTTTCTTCAAAAGGATTCTGTAACAGTCAAGGAGACAATGCAACATGTCCCTCCAAGCACTGGACATGTAAGGCTTTCCTTTTATAAGACTGTTACATAAAAGTTCACAATTTTGAAAATAACAAGGAAAGCAGCTATCTTTGGCATACCTTTTTGTTCTTGAAGCATTCTTCAAGCTAGCCTCACTTGTGATCCTCCTGCCTTTGGCTCCAGGGGCTTGTATTACAGGTGTGCACCACCATGCCCTGCTGGATGCTATTCCACAAACTATACCCATCCTCACAGTATAACTTGATACATGACACTAACATTACTAATTTATAAAAGAATCTGAAGTCAGTAATTCACCCTGTGCGAACTCTGAGTGAGGACAAGCACAAAGTAAACATGGTTAAGTCCTTTCCTACACTTCCTCAGTTCAAATTCATTGCACAGAATAAACTCGCAAATATTTCTTAAAAGTTGAGTGGGATGGAGGAAGAATGTGCTGCATTTTTAATACAAGTGTGGCCGTCAGTATGAAAGATCACATTGGTATGGTGGTTATGAATTTTCTCCTCTGAGGGCTAACGACTAACTTCTGACATTATTGCTGCCTCAGTTTTTCCCTGGTATGAATTCTCTGAGGCATATTTGGCTCTGGGCCACTGAAAGGGCCTTCCTACTTTCTTTACATTCATGGAAATTTCCAGTTTTTCATAAACTAAAGCCTCACGGTAAGTTCTGGAACAATTGAGTCACTTCCGATTTCTGTAATTGTGAGGTTTCTTACTGGTGACAAGTGTCCAATTGTTTCTGGCCCTCATTGGTCTTTGAGTATGAATTCTAGCGTTGCTGAGAAACCCTATGATGTTGTCTTCCCACACTTGTTAGCCATCACAGGGTTTTGAACTGTATGAATTTCCTGACGGCAGTTGTTTCTTCATTCACTCCTCTGTCCTGTGTGGATTCTCTGGTGTTGGGTAAGGTGAGAACCACGAATGAAGGCCTTCCCACACTGCTTACACTTATAGGGCTTCTCCCCAGTGTGGATTTTCTGGTGTCGACTAAGCTCTGAGCCCCGGCCAAAAGTCTTCCCGCATTCCTTACACTCATAGGGTTTCTCACCACTGTGGCTTCTTTCATGATGGGTTAGTTCTGATCTTCGAATGAAAGCCTTCCCACACTCCTTACATTTGTGGGGTCTGTCGCCAGTGTGAACTTTCAGGTGTCTCATGAGCTCTGTAGTACATGTAAATGACTTTCCACATTCCTTACATTTATAGGGTTTATCACCAGCATGGGCTCTCTGATGCCGGGCAAGTTCTGAGCCACGACGAAAGCCTTTCCCACATTCCTTACATTTATAGGGCTTCTCACCAGTGTGAACACTCTGATGTCGAAGAAGATGCGAATCAGAGATAAAGCCTTTCCCACACTCTTTACACTTGTGGGGCTTCTCCCCGGTGTGAACCATCTGATGTAAAGTGAGTTGTGAGGCACAACTATACACTCGGTCACAGTCCTTACACTCGTAGCGTCGTGCCCCAGCATGAGTTAGCTGATGAAGACTAAGCTGAGTGTCGTAACGAAAGGCCTTCCCACACTCCTGACACACATGAGGCTTCTCACCAGTGTGGATCCGCTGGTGACGAAGGAGGTGTGAGGGCCGGGTGAAGGCCTTCCCACACTCCTTACACTCAAAGCACTTCTCATCAGTGTGAACTCTCTGGTGAAGACTAAGCTGTGCATTAGATGGAAAAGCCTTCCCACACTCCTGACACTTGTAGGGCTTCTCACCTATATGCAACTTCTGATGGTGACTGAGCTGTGAGGTAGTATGGAACCCTTTCCCACATTCCTTACACTTATGAGGTTTCTCACTACTGTGAGTACTCTGAGGTTTCAAACTGTCAGAACCACAAATAAGGGCACTTTTCTTATTTTCATTGCTTTTTTTGCTTTCATGAAGTTTTTGATGCATAATCAAGTCTGACCTACAGTTAAAGACTTTCCCACATTGTGCACACCCAGTGCCTTTTTCTTTATCGTGAATTTGCTCGTGTTCAATGAGACATGATTGGCACATGAATGTTTTCTTACATTTCTTGCATTTACAAGGTTGTTCTGAAGGCTGAGCTTCTCTATGGACTGTGCATTGGATGGAACTTGGCCTCTCGACGGAGGTCACTACAGCTTGTCTCAACTGTCCCTCCTGATGGTCCTGCTGCTTCTCCAACTGGCCTGTGATTTCTCTGTTACCTCTGGCCCCGCTGTCCTCAAGGCTGGAGCGTGTATGGTTTTCTGCCATCTTTTGTTGCAATGATTTAATTTTGTAACCGTCCTCTGGAAGTAAGTTCTTGCCTTCTCTTATAGATGCCCAGTCTGTAAGATAATAAGAAAGTGGAAGGTCATTTTCAAACTTCAGAAGGGAATATTGCTGGAAGCGACAGCTGAAGGCAATGAAAATTGAAACAACTCACAACATAGCATTGAAATCTGGAGAGGGAGAGGGGTGTGCGATGAGAAACTATGAAGAGAGCTCAAAAAGGAAGGGGAAGGTTATGTTCTTTCCACTCTGGGGGGCATCCAAATTAGATAGGAAACTTATTCAAAACACGGTATCAGGAACTGCCCAAGAAAGCTAAGAGAACACACAAGGCAGAGTCACAACAGCTCCTGTCTCCAGCGTCGGACCATGTGCTCAACCATCTTGTTATGAGCCATTATTGGCTAAAGAGTTACACCACGCTGTGTGTGAACCAGGCTGTGTGTGAACCACGCTGTGTGTGAACCACGCTGTATGTGAACCATGCTGTGTGTGAACCACGCTGTGTGTGAACCATGCTGTGTGTCCTGCTAGCTCTGCTGACATTCCCTATTTCCTCTCCACATAGTAGTTAGAACGTTGCTGTTAAAAACACATCAGCCGGGCAGTGGTGTGCACACCTTTAATTCCAGCACTAGGAAGGTAGAGGCCAAGTGGATCTCTCTGAGTTCAAGGCCAGCCTAGTCTACAAAGCAAGTTCCACGACAGCCAGGACTGTTACACAGTGAAACCCTGTCTTGAAAAACCAGGGAGGAAAGAAAGTGAGATCATAGCACTGTCCTGTCAGAACCTCTTCCTCACTTAATAACATCCTCCACAAGGGGGCTAAGAGACAGCTCAGAGGTTACAAGTACTTGCTGCTCTTGCAGAGGCCCCAGGTTTGAGTCTTAGAACCTACCCCAGGCGGCTCACAACCATCTTTTACTTCAGCTCCAGAAGATTTAATGCTATACTCACAGGTGCACACACACAGACTCAAAATAAAAAACAAATCTATTGCTGGAGAGATGGCTCAGCAGTTAAGAATATTTGCTGCTCTTGTAGGTGACTTAGGTTTGATTCACAGGACCTACAAGGTGGCTTACAACCATCTATAATTCCAGATCCAAGGATCCCAATGCCGTCTTCTGACCTTCATAGGCACCAGGAATATAAGTAGTGCACATACATCTGTGCGGGCAAAGATCCTCAAACACATAAAATAAACCAATCTACAACGTCTCTTAACGGAGCTGGAGAGAAGAAGGCCCAGCAGTTAGAAATACTTGCTGCTCTCATGCAGGACGTGGGTTTGGCTCTCAGCACTGTAACTTCAGGGACTCTGACTCACTGGCCTGCACAGGCACTGCATGCCTGGGGTACACAGTCAGACAAGCAGGCACATACACATACACATAGGAAAAAGAACTGTTCCAAAATCTGCCCTTCAGTATCTGTTTCCGACCTTAGCTAACCTTGCTCCAGCTCTCTGGCCGACTGCATGCTCTTTACAGACTCCTTCAGAATCTGCTGGTAGATCCCTCCCCTAAGATATCAATACCGCTCACTCAGCTGCTTTACCCCAGCCTCCAGTCACGGCTACTTACGATCGTTACAGAAGAAGGTGCTCACCACTCTCCACACTTATTTTTGTAAAGCACATTTATTACATGTCATCTGGTATTTTCTAGTACTGTGAAAATTTTCAAACATGAAAAAGTATACTTAATTCCATTCCCTCAACTGTACAGTACACGTCGTGTTCTATTTGCCCTACTCTTCATCCATCATGATGCTGGGCAACCTTGTGTGCTCCTCAAATATATTTTCCACGGTTTCGCCTCTTCTTAAAATCCAGTAAGTTTTGTCCCTGTCACTCTACTGTAACTAGTTTCAAATGTCTCACTTCTGTCTGTCTGTCTCTCTCTCCCTCTCTCTCTCTCTCCCTAGACAGGGTTTCTCTGTGTAGCCCTGGCTGTCCTCGAACTCACAGAGATCCACCTGCCTCTGCCTCCTTAGTGCTGGGATTAAAGGCATGTACCACCACCACCTGGCCTCCTCTCATAACTTCTCTGTAGCTAATTCAAATAGTTAATTCTCTCAACTACTCTCTTAGCTACCAGTTGCGATTCCTTTTTCTTTAAGGTCAGCATTTAAAGCGATGGGTTTTGGTACAGCATCTCCACACAAATATGTCACTGTACTTTGTTCTCCCCTTGTTAGTTCCTCCCCTCTGCTCTTACACCACACATCTTGTCCTCTGTCCCTTTCTTACTCAACTAAAGCCGCTCTCAGGGTTCTGCGGACCACTCTGATCTCCCTCTTACACACTAGCTCTTCCACCTGGCTTTCTTTGGCTAGATGCCCCTCTTTTCTCAACTAAATGGTAAGGGCCCCAGGGCTGAGTCTCCTCTGGGATGATACACACTTTAAAGCTCAGCAACAGTAATATAGAGCAAACACTACATTCTCTAGACAGCCTTGGAATTTGGCTTCCCCGTGTCTACTGCTTGGAAGGTGATCTAGTGGCAAGTCCTACACACCCCCCATCCTCAGGGCCTGGACGATGGGGTAAAGTGGGTCCCCATGGCCCTCACTCTCCACTACAAATCCTACACACCCCCATCCTCAGGGCCCGGATGTTGGGGAAAGTGAAGTTCACAGCAAAGGCATTGCTGATGTGTGTCTGTTACACCTACCATCCCAAGTCCTCCACTAGCTTCCTGCGGACAATCATTAAGCTCATGTCCTCCATGCACTGCTGTTCTCACCACCCTGACTCGCTCCCTCCTGGACCCTTCTCTTCGTTCCCTGCTGCATCCATGTCCTTCCTCAGACAACCATCCCAACTCAGTCCCATGTAACAGAGCTAGACCTCATCCTTCTGACTTTAAACACAATGCTTCAGTATTTTATCGCCACTTAAATGTTGCAGCATATTTGTTTACTCTGCATGAAGATGTGTCTGTGTTTTGTCTCACCTGCCTAAGGTACCTGATTGTTTTTAATAAAGAACTGAGTGGTCAAGGGCTAGGCAGGAGAGGTTGGGCAGGACTTTCAGACAGAGAACTCAGGGATGAATCTAGGCACACGGAGATGTCAGCAAGACACGGAGGGAGTCAGATGTACAGAATGGAGGAGAGGTAAAGAGCCATGTGGCAAAATGTAGACTAATAGAAACAAGTTAATTTAAGTTATAAGAGCTAGTTAGAAACAAGCCTAAGCTAAAGGCCAAACTTTCATAATTAATAAGTCTCTGTGTTATTATTTGGGGGCTGGAGGTCCCCAAAGGAAGTCTGATGAGAATGCTTACTACACTTTAAATAAGTATATAACTAGTATTCCCTCAATAGAACATACAATAAATCTGCTTGGATGGGGCCTTCACTTGTTCATTGTTAAATCTGCAATAGGAAAATACTGGGTGGGGTTGAAGAGACGGCTCAGCGGTTAGGAGCGTGTATTTCTCTAGCAGGGGAGCAAGTTCAGTTCTCAGCACTTGAGTCTGGCAGCTCACAACTGCCTGTCACTTCAGCTTCAGGGGATGTGAAACCAGGGACTGGGGGCAGGAAGCAGGAAGTCTCACCCTAGAACATTACTAGCAAACAGCTAGTAATATTGTAGCAGCATAATGCTATGGTTTTAGCTTTTAGTAAACCAGGAGTTAGAAAGGAAATCACATATCTGGACAATCTATGTTTCTGGGAATATAAAAGGCTGTGCACACAAGCAGCTGTCTGCTTCCCCAGAAGACTTGGGAAAGAAGTTCTCGTCAGTCACAATCCCCTGATCTCAAGGTCCTGCACAGCAGGAAGGGGAAGTTTATGAGCCTGTTGTCTTACAAATGTCTGTGGGAACCAGTAGGAGAAATACATCAAAGGCGTTTGGGAAACTATTCTTCTCTTTCCTTTCCAACTCGAAGAGCTTGCCCATATTCCACAGTTTGTGCCTCGATCTTATTTCTTTCTGAGTCAGGGTATCACTAGCCCAGGATAGTCTAGAAAGCATGAGCCCCATTTTGGCCTCCAGAGTACTGATTATAGCTGTGGGATGCCTGGCTTCTAAACTGTTTGAAATTAAAGTGCTGATTACACTTCTTAGTTCCTACTGCACCCTGTCAAATACAACAGTTGCTAGGGCAACCACTGAGAAAGTAACTAAGAACTACAGTAAAAGAATCTATAACAATCTAGCTGCAAATCTTACAGAACCAGAGTCTAAAGAGCAAACTAACGCTAACGCCAACGGGAGGGAGACCGCCAAGTCAGCAGACATCAACAAACTAAAGAACAGAGAAAGCAATAGATAGACCAGCGGGACTAAAGCTGACAAACCTTTAAGAGAAACAAGAGAAGACATTCACGGCTCCAAGCTCAAGAATGAAAGGAGACCACTAGTGACCCCTCACATCCATAAAAAGGGCTGTAAGGAACCACTCTGAACCAATTTATCAGATAGCCTAGACAAAACACACAAATTCTTAAATGAAAAACTACTAAGACAGATTCAAGAGTAACCAGAACATATGAGTAGTTCTGTAACAAAGATTATGAATTAGTAGTTATAATAAAAAATGTGGGGACTGCAGAGATGACTCAGTGGTTAAGAGCACTTGCTGTTCTTGCAAAGGACCTGGGTTCAGTTCCCAGCACCCACATCAGGTGACTCTAAACTCTTGTAACCTCCCCAGTTCCAGAGGATCCAGAGATCTCTCCCAGCTCTCTTGGGCACCTGCATGCATGTGCACATACAGACAAGCAGGCACATGTGAATACACATTAATGAAGACAGATTAAAAATTCTCCCCATTGTTAGGTCTCAAAGAAACTCAGGACAGATGGCTGAGGTGCCTATTTAATACATCAAGGCAGATGCTGGCCGCCAGGTCCTCCCACCATCTCTCAGTATGGCAAGTACCTGTGACAGTCATCCTGGCTGTGCACGCCCCCCCCAGCTCCGCCCCCCCGCCCCCCCCCCCCAGCTTCTCTTCTATAAACCCAGCCATTCTGGCTATGTGTTTCCTTGGTGCTCCTGCTCTCCTGGTCTTCTGGCTTGCTCCTGGCTCTTGGATCCTGGTCCCCTCCCCGACCCCTTCCTCTCATGGCCTAGTTCAGTCTGCTGGCCATGTTCTGTCTGGACCCTTCTGGATGACTCTGACTGTGCTCTCTCTCATATCTATACTAAAAACTTTCTCCTCAACCATACCATGGAGCGGTCATGTTCTCATTTTTTCATTCACCCATGAAAAGCCTAGACCTAAAAGTTTTCACTGTTGAATTCTACCACTGACGGAATTTAGCATAAAGAGAAACCTGCATGTATGCACACAGTGGCCAGAGGGCAATCTGAGAATCTTCCTAAGGAACAACATCTGTATCCTTTGAGACAGTTTCTCATTAGGCTGCAGCTCAGGCATATGCTAAACTGGCTGTCTAGCAAGCCCCAGCAATCCCCGCCTCACCGTTCCCTGGCAAGGATGACATGTATGCACTGCCACACCTGGCATGTTTATGAGCTCTAGAACACCCTTTCTCCCCAGACTGCAGGCTTCGGCTGCCAGGGAGCTTTCCCAGCAGCACCTAGAGTGCTGCCTTCCTTCTCACAGACTGCCTGGTCTCGCCAGGTGCACGGACCGTCACTCACCAGAATGCCATTCTTTTGTCTCATTCCTCCTAACCATCCAGGGCTCTTTCCCCCGCTCCAAAAGGGAGATCACACTTGGCTTAGTGTCAGCAAGACCTGTCCAAAGACAAAAGGGGAAGTTTATGTTGTGCATGTCAGAATCAATTTCAGTCCAGGAGGCCTGGCACAGAAGCACAAGCCTTTAATCCTAGCACCCTAGAGGCAGAGGAAGGAGGATTTCTGTGGGTTCAAGGACATCCAGGGCTACACAGTGAGACTATAGTAAAATAAGTCCATGACTGTCAAGAGAGAAAAACAGGGTCTCAGACCTGAGAGGGGAAGTGGACAGAAGCCCTCTCTCCTAACCCAGAAGCTCACAACCACCCGCAAGGGAGAAATGAAGTTTTCTCCAAAGGACCCTCCCTGGGCATAGAAACCACACTTAAGGGCAGGCCTCATGCTCAGCAGTAGATGGCCAGCACACCAGGAACTCAATGGGATTGTTGGAGTTTTTTATCTCCTAACGCTTCACCTGGGCTTTTTATTTCTTTCTTTCTATTTATTTACTTATTTATTTATTTCTTTTTAACCACACAGATCTGTCACTTATATTTTAGGGTTTCCTATGTGTGCAAATGCGTCTCAGTGTCACTATGTTTCCTGTGCTTTTCCGTTGTTTTCTTTTTCTTTTCCCTGTTTGTTTATTTAGTCCTAGCCTGGTTTGTTTGGTAATGAGAGAAAGAAAGGCTGTGGAATTTGGGTGGGTGGGGAAGTGGAGAGGGTCTGGGAGGATCTGGGGGAAGGGAAATGCAATCAGAATATATTGTATTATAAAAAATCTCTTTTCAATTAGAGAGAGAGAGAGAGAGAGAGAGAGAGAGAGAGAGAGAGAAGAGAGAGGAAGAAAAACTGGGCCTGGCAACCTAAATTCAATCCTTGGAACCCATGTAGAGACAGATGGAGAGAATGGACTCCACAGAGTTGTCCTCTGATCCTTACGTGCATGCCCTTCACCATCCCAATTAAAAAAAATATTTTAAGATCAAAATGAGTGAACTTTAGAGGGCTGGGGAAGAGAAGATAAGATGCCTCTCTCTCTCTCTCTTCCCCTGTGTGTGTGTGTGTGTGTGTGTGTGTGTGTGTGTGTGTGTGTGTGTCTGTGTGTGTGCTTGGATGCACGTGTGCGTGATATCTGTGAACCATTATTAATTTGGCCCAGTACTTGAAGCGTTCATGAAAAACTCAACAAAAGCTTTTGGCAGTGGCGCAGGCCTACAACCTCAGCACCTGTAAAGAAAGCTAAGGCAGGAGAATTGTCATGAGTTTCAGACCATTCTGGGCTACGTAGCAGACTTTGTCTGAAACAAAACAGATCAACGGGCTGGAGAGGTGGCTCAGCAGTTAAGAGCACCGACTGCTCTTACAGAGGACTGGAGTTCATTCCCAGCACTCACATGGTAGCTCACAACCATCTATAACTCAAACTCTAGGGGATCTGATGCCTCTTCTGGCTTCCATGGGTACCAGGCATGCACATGGTACGCAGGTATACCTGCAGGTAAACCACCCACCCACATAGAAAACTAAAGACAAAACAACACTCATCACAAACAACATGGACGTTCTGGAAGGGCAGTTCTGAACTTCGGTGGGTAGATGAACTCACCTAGTGAAATGAGGTTGCTGTAATTCTCCAACATTACATCCCGGTACAGATTCCTGTGGGACGGGTACAAGCATGCCCACTCATCTCGAGAGAAGTAAATGACCACATCTTTGAACTTCAAGCTCTGAAATCACACACGAACATGTTGTTTGTGAAGTTAAGACAAAAATCTTAAGCTAATCGAAAGGACAGTGGAGAAGACACTTCCCTGGAAAGCCTGGCTGGGCCCTTCCACGTGAACAGGCCACGGCGGGGACAAAGGTGCCCACGGTGGCCCTGAGCACGCCTCTCCTTGGACTTCAAAGCAAGTCCGTGTAGTGGTGTTTCTCAGCCCCATGGGACTGCCCATGCCAGCACACAGCGCCCTCTCCTCACCGTAGCGCCCTCTCCTCACCGGCTCCACTCTCCTCCCAGCTGTAACTCCGAGCTGTAACTGCCCACTCACTGCTCCACACCTACACAAATCTTATGTCTGTCTCTGCACATCTAAACTAGTCTCACCGTGAGCCTCCTACCTCTGACCTAACTGGACAGCCCCATCTCATGCTGTGTTCCCTCTCTCCTCCTTTCCTTCCAAAGAACTAGGCCATGCACGCCCTCCATCCAGTGCCCCTAGGGCCAGTCTCTGCGCCGTGGAAACTCAAGTGTGATACCAAAGGGTTTTCTACAGGGGGGCAAACTAAAACTGTGACAAACTACTGGAGGGGCTGCACGCCAACCTGCGCCAACAGCTGCAGGAAATGTACTTCGGAATGAGGGCATCCTTTCTGGAAGGCCTCGCACAAACACAGCCCAAGAAAGAGTTAAAAAAGGAAAGGACACATCCAGTGCCATAGATATGCAAATACAACAAGGGAACACCAAAGACTAGGAGACAACAAGCTACCACAACAGGGGCCGGACCCCAACTCCCGGGTAACAGAGGCTAAAAGAGCGAGACAGCTGAAATGTCTGAGAAAAACCTCAGGGTCCTCCTTTTACAATGACAGGAAAAGGGGACCACTGTTGTCAGCTGTGTACCCACTGGTGACCCAGCCGGTGCCAATGGAAAGTTCGAAGACTCACAGCTGGGTGTGGTGATGCACACTTTTAGTCCCAGCATTGGGGAAACAGAGCCAGGAGGAGGAGCTCTCTGAGTTTGGGCCATCCTGGTCTACAAAGTAAGTTCCAGGCCAGTCAAGGCTACACAGTAAAACCCTGTTTCACAACAAACCAATACACGAGTCACACAGAGAGCCGTGGGTAAACTATATGGACCACACAATAAAACCAAGGGTTGTGAGTCTGGGGAAGGGACAGATAAAGGGTGTTGTCTGGCATGGGAGGAAGATACGAGAAGGTCAGGAGAGAGTTATCAGAATGCATTCTATGCCAGCATGAAACTGTCAAAGGAACAACGTCAACAAAGAAACAAGAGGGGCTGGAGAGGGCTCAGCAGTTGAGATCACTGACTCTCTTCCAGAGGATGCAGGTTCAATTCCCAGCACCCACACGGCAGCCCATAATCGCCTGTAACTCCAGTCTCTGGGGACTCCACCATCCTCTTCTAGCTTCCAGAAGTAGCTATCAGGCACACATGTACTGCAAGGACATACATACAGACAAAATACCCACACATGAAATAAAAATGAATAAAAAAAATGTAATTCACCATACAAATATGATCTTAAGGATGGGGAGGGTGCTGAGACATGGAGACCATACTCATGGACTCCCTGCGGCTAATTTCCGGCCCAAGGCCAGGCCAGCAAGACCAGTCAACATTGCAACAGGCAGCACTAACGGACTCAGTGGGGGGTGGGGAGGGAGGAGGAGGAAGGTGACATGAAGGCATGAACCCGGAAGGGGACATAGGGCTACCTGGAAGAAGGGGGAAGTGGAGGATGCATATGATCAATGTACTTTCTATGTGTGAAACCGTCAAAGAAGAAACAGACACCCTATTTAAGAAAAGAATATGTAACAGAATTAACGACACAGTCACAGATGTCTCACAGGGTTGTGACGAGAATTCAGTAAGATCACTTTGGGGGAGAACCTCAAACTATCGTGACCCAAAGCAAGTCCCGAAGTCAGTTGTTTCTGTCAGCGCCATCTGCACTGAAAACAGGAACACAGGGCCAGCCACACACACAGACAGACAGAACAGTGTGAAAACACGAACAGCTGAGTGTCTTCTGCACAAACAGTGGGAGGGGCCGGGCAGACACCACAGGCTGTTACCATTTTAGCGAGAAGGTCACTACCTCGACTCTAGAAGGGACAACAAGGAGATGAGACTGAGATAACCTCAGATTCTCTCTCTGCTGAATGACCAGGTTCACCAGCACGATTCTGTTCCACACGAATAAAAGCCTGGGACACGGAAATTCTGGCACCAGGGATGGTCTGTACAAAGCGGATGCCTAGGATGGTTTGAGAAAACTGCCCCACAAACATGGCTTCCTCTTCTCCAAGTCACTGAGGGCTCTAGAGGAGACTCCTGAATCACAGCAGCATTTACACCAAGAAGCTTCTCATGACAAAAGTGGCATTTGTGGCTTACCTTGGCCATGTCTATAGATGCAAAGCTCTTCTCTCCTCCTCTTCTGGCTTCTTAGAGAAAGAAAGGGGTGGGAAATGGTTAAGAAACTATGTGCTGTGTACACTCCTGCACCGTCTCCCATCCCCACCATCTTCTCTAATCCTTACTCAGTAAAAAGGTGACCGCAGGACCCAGATTAGAGTGCTGAGGCGGCGTCTCAAAGGTAAGTTTGTTCTTCCTTAAGAAAAAGCACTGGGCTGCGGTGGTGCACGCCTTTAATCTCAGCACTTGGGAGGCGGAGGCAGGCGGATCTTTGAGTTTGAGGCCAGCCAGGACTACACAGAGAAACTCTGCCTCAAAAAACAAAAAGTTAGTACTCTGATGAGGGCAAACCTTACTCCACTCACTGTCTTCAGCCCAAGACTGTCTCTAAGACACTGCCTAAACATGGGTGCACTGCTGGCCTTCATCCTGTGGCATCTACACAATAGAGAAGTGGGAATTCCAGGGGTCTAGAGCTCCTACCACCCTCAAACCTAGAGCTAGCCCAAGGGGAACAGCATTCACAACACTGGAGAACTGAGTGGGGTTAGCTCAAGGAGTGAGTAACGGTAGCTGTGGTCCTTGCTGCTGGGACTCAAAAATATACCAGGAACTACAACGGCTTTCTACACAGTTGGGACTGAAGTAGAGGTGACTCAGACTCCATCCAGTGTAGACCAAGTCTGTAGAGTCTATGCCCTGGGGCACTGCTGGCGCTGGGCATCACGGAGTGTCCCACATACACATCTACTAATGACTGTAAAAGCAAGAGAAAGCAAAATGCAGCAACCAGTCCCAAGAAGAGAGGCTCTTGCCCATCAGTGTTCCTCTTGCCCCTCTACTGACTAGGCTTCACATCACACTCGCCCTTAAGAGGCCAATCACATTTCATACCAAAGATTAATGGCTCAGTTTTCAATCCACAGGCAGTAAGTTGTAATTGGCAGCCCATCCCTCTGGCTACTCAGTTCCTATAGGCTGTCTGTCATAACCAACAAGAGGATAAGGGTATATTAAACCATATTAACCAGGCCTCAGAACAGCCATGACTGATAAAAGCATTCCATCTGACACATATGTACACTCCTTATGACAACACTACTCTCGCTACCTAGCAATTTGCAGATGCAAATGAGAAGATGCACAATCCTAACAGTTGGCTATAAATAGTAATTGGCTAATTAGTGGCTATATTAATTACTTTTCAATTTAGTTACACAACACTGAACATTCTTTTACCTAAAGAGCAAATTATAGCTGGGTGTGCGGCATATACCTTTAATCCCAGAACTCGGGAGGCAGAGGCAAGAGGATCTCTGTGAGTTCAAGGCCAGCCTGGTCTACAGAGTGAGATCCAGGACAGCACAGAGAAACCCTGTCTCAAAAAACCACCCACCCAAAAAGTTATAAAGCTAGCTTCTAAACATTTGTATGTATATAAACCACGGGTAATATATAAACACACGTAACAAGATAAACACGCAGTTACCAGCAGCCTCTATGTTTGAGTTATACTTGATGCCTGCAGCTCCCTCCTTCAACATGAATCTGTACCACTTTATGAATCATCTTGAGCACTCTGGGGTCCTCAGGACATTAAAGGGCTATGCACGTCCTTAATCTTTACAAGCAGGGTGATCTAAACCGTCATTTCAAATCTGACTTTCACTGCTCTCATTCCCCCCACTAAGGAGCAACACAGACAAGCCAGAGAGCCTCAGGGCTCTCCAGCCCCTACTGCCCCATGCAACAGCAATCCAGTTTTCCATGGGAATCAGACTTAGTCATTCCAACTACTAAGTTCATCTGTGTTTCTGCTAATTCTCTTTCTTTCTTTTTTTCTTTTTCTTTGGTTTTTCAAGACAGGGTTTCTCTGTGTAGCTTTGCGCCTTTCCTGGAACTCACTCTGTAGACCAGGCTGGCCTCGAACTCACAGAGATCCGCCTGGCTCTGCCTCCCTAGTACTGGGATTAAAGGTGTGCGCTACCACTGCCAGACCTTCTGGAAGCTAAGTTGAGAGGGGACTTTTCTGAAAATCCCAGTATTGGGTCAGAATGTCCCCAGGGCTTAGATCAGAATCTATTATTGCCTTTAATCTCAGGTGCTACAGCCCACAGGAATATATTATAAGAACTCAACTGGTTATGGCAAAGCCACTACCTGAAGGGATCAAGGAATTCCTTCAGAGGAAGCCAAATGCCAAGGAGCTTTTGGTGTTATTTGGCTTGTTATATATCAGCTGTATTCTGTTATGAAAATCACGTGTGCCTTCATAGTTTTCCCAACTGATTTTTTCCTAAGAAGAGCTAACAGTGTGGACTGATCACTATTTGGACATATACATTTGAGGTATTTGGAGAACAGCCTCAGGAAAGACTTCCTTCCCTCAGGCACATCTGTTTTTTTCTCCTTTCAGCACTGGAATCAGATATGTCCCTTAGCCACTTTCAAGGACTGACAGAAATAACAGCCCAGACCACCACATGCTAGTCCACAAGGAGACACCACCTAGGTCAGGTGGACCTTAAGTAATAGCTTTGCACAATTTAGCTTGGACCCTCCTTTCTTACAGCCTTACCAACTTTATAGACCTCTAACTCCTTACCTAACCACTCCTAGGAATGTAGATTGAGCACATAAATTCCCTTTTTGATATACTAACTGATATTAGCTCTCAGCTGACCTCCTCCCTTAACCACGCCACTTTCAGGCCGTAAAAGAGCCTGACAGTCACTGCCTGAGGAAACTCTTACCTGCCTTTATGACCTTGCAGGAATTCAGGCCTGGTGACTGGCTGGAGGGGAGCATTGGGATTGTTTGGGTTTATAACTGTAAAGCTAGAGACTGAGGAGGGAATTAAAGCAAGTGGACGTAAGAGCTTGGTGTACTTAGATTCTTTTCCTGAAAATAGTTCTCGCCGTTTGTAGTTTCTTTTCTGACCCCTGGGAAGTATATTATTAAGGCTGGTCCTTTTAATAATATACAAGACTGAGGTCACTTAATGACACTTGGTTTACCATCTGTGACATTTATCACACATCAGGAAGGGAATTAAATATTTATGAAGATGATTATTTTTTACCCCTATCTGATTAATTCGCCAAAAGCTCGTAATGGGTCTCAAACTCTTTACATATTTGGGTAATCCATACAGTAGCAAATGGACACCGTTCTTACATTACAGCTTTTTCTGCCTTGAAAAATGGCTTCCCTCTGCCGATCATTATAAACAAACCAACACCCCCACCCAGACAGACAACAGCCCTCTACTCCAGCGGGCCAGCGGCTGCGGCTCTTCCTGGGGAACGGCGCTGTCTTGGGCAGCTTTCCTTCCCAGCTCTCTCCTTGCTGTGAGAAGTCCCAGCTGCTCGGTAACAGCGGATTTTCTCTCTTTGGAGACCCTCACAGTTTCCCTGTTCTTGTCCACCTGAGTGGGGGTGAACACTGGCTGCCCAGTCAGTACCCGCCTCCCGAAAGGCAAGCTTAGGAACCAGCCCTGGCTTCTCTCAGCAAGAGACCCAACACACCTCTACCTGCAGGTCCCCCTGGCCAGACTGAGAGATTACACAAGTACCACGTTCTCGCCCATCAAAACTGCCCACCCATGCGCATATGGTCCTGTGAGAACATACTCCATCTGTCCGCATCTCCTTGGTTGTCCTGCAATGCCTGACAGCTAGCGAGAACGAAGTTCAACACAGCTACGTCCCGTTTCTAGCTGGAAGTAGGCAGGGTGACTCCCTGTCCATTACAATAATTTAAATGATCTGATGGTCTCGACTCTTGAGGGGAAAATGGTAGGTAGCTAGATATTAGCAGGCTTGGAGGCCATCGAGGAAGGACCCTTTCCTAAAAGCACCCTTCTCCTCCAGGATTTCCCACACTATAACTGTCCCAAGACTCCCCTGATGAGGATGTCACTTCAGGAGAGAACTACTAAAATCCTAAGTAAGCTCCCCTTTCACCTGGCTAATTAAACAAACAAACAAACAAAACCCTCACGAATGTTACCTATGTGCACACCAGTGTCTAAAGGTCCTGTATTAACTTGTTTTTCTAGATTCTTGCTCTTCCGCACCTCCAGGAACGGCCTGCCTGAAAGCATTTACCATGGACTACCCCTCAAACATGGGGCAGAGAACCTTCCCCCTTCCTCTGAGACCTGTAAGGAGGGTCAGCCACTCTGCCCCCTGGGGCTGAACTCCCCTCAAGGCCCACACCATGTCGCTGTTTGTCTGTTCTGCTACAACGTTAGCAACTTTTAATAACTCTCATACCTAAAAAGAAAAGAACAGTGCATTGTGAACCACGAGGGGCACTTCTCAAACAGGGAACCAATCACTGCACAGCTCTTGCCAAGCTCTGTAACAGAGACATATTGGGAATACTTCACTAAATGGCTTCCAGCTGCTCGAAGTTGATATATTTAGTTGGAGCAGCAGCAGCAGCTGCGTAGTTACATGGGCACAGGCATCAGTTACGCTCCAGAAGCAGCTGCTGAGCTCACTGTGGGTTTGGCACAGACACTCTGCCCAAAGCCTAGGGCAGCTGGCACCACCTGTTCTTTACTGATGGAGTCATCAGTCAAAATTACACTGGGACTTGAATTTCCATAGCTTGCCAAGCTAAGAAAAGAAAGAAAGAAAGAAAGAAAGAAAGAGAGAGAGAAAGAGAGAGAGAGAAAGAAAGAAAGAAAGAAAGAAAGAAAGAAAGAAAGAAAGAAAGAAAGAAAGAAAGAAAGAAAGAAAGAAAGAAAGAAAGAAAAAGAAAGAAGATGGAATTAATAGCACTGGAAATTTAGACTTTTCATAAATACGTGTCCCACATTACCCAGCCAATTTTCCCTCAGTATCCATCTACCCGAGAGAAATGAAGATCCTTGCTTATCTTCATGAGGTCTTGTGCACACATCAATGTATGCTTGCTTGCTTTCTGCTAGCCCCCAGACTGGACGCTGCCCAAGTCTTCATGGACAACTGATGGGAGAAGCTGGCTGTGGGAACATTGCTAATAAAAAGATGCTACAGAG